CTTTTCTGTTGTCCGTCCCCCAGGGAGGAGGTCACATGTAGATCCCTGTAATTGGTTCCCCCTTTCCACTCCACCTTCCCTCCACCTCCCAGTATCGCCACTCTCCCTTCCTCTCCCCCAATTATCATGATCCCAATCCTACGTTACAAATCTGGCTAGATCAGAGGATGTTCACTGGTACAGATAGGAACTGGAAAAACAGGGAATCCAGGACGGATGATCCCGTATGCTCCCTTTTAATGAAATTATATATAGAATTCAAAATCTATGTTTTCACCACTACTGTCTTCCTAGAATTTTTCAAATCCTTTTAGGACAGCCAGATTCACTTATAGTGGCCTTATCTTTCCAGCTAGGAATCCATTGTCAAAAATGAAAGGTGAGCTGAGCAAGGTAGTGTGTGTGTGTGTGTACATATGTTTATTTGTAAGAGTGGATTGCTGTTACTGGCAGTGTTGCTATATATGTTTATGGGTGCTTCGCTAAAGTCTGTTTTGACCACAGGTAGTTTTCACTTTTGAGCATGGGAAGTTTTCCTTGGTTTGTGGTCTGTGGTACTGTTTGTAGAATAGGCTTTATTTTCAAGTGTATTTTTGTCTCTTGGGATGACACTGGCACTACAACATTGCTAATTATGCTGTGACAGCTTAGTTTTTCCATGACTATTTTTCCCCCCACTAAAGTTCTGGAAAAAACTAAAATTCCACTTGCCCTTGAGGTATTTCTTTGGTTTGCCGTTTTAGCTCACTTTTCAGTAGGAATCTGGTTAGTTCCAAACTTATTTGTACACTAGATCTCTTGAAATTTTTCATGTTATCAATCAGAAACCGCTTGGTAAAATGTGTTAATCTTGAGTTCTGGATAAAGGAACAGAATTAGGACAATGGAAATGCTGATTTTAATTTCAGACAAATTTCTACTAACGCTACTGAATGAAAGATTTGCTTATCTCTTTTTTCTACTGATGTCATCATCAAATTGTGTTTGGCTATCTTGAAAACTGAAAAAAGAATTGTACAAAATAAAACTGATTTGATGGTGACATTTCAATGCCTATTTCATTTTACATTTCTAATACTTAGCAGCAAAGATTACAGAACATGCAAAGGCATCAAGGGGCACAGACTACCTTTGTGATGGAAATAAAATGCCTATAGTGCCCAGAGTTGTACTAAATACAAACAAAGCCTAAAACCTTACTCTAAACTCACTCTACTGAATTGATTCTGACTTATAGTGAGCCTATAAGACAGAGTAGAACTACTCTTGTGGGTTTCCAAAGATGTAAATCTTTTATGGAGCACAAAGTCTCGTTTTTTTTGCCCCATGGGATGGTAGGTTTGAACTGCTGGCTTTGCAGTTAGCAGCCCTATGCATAACCCATTATACCACTCGGGCTCTGAGTACAGGGCTATGTGAGATCAAATAACGGTTAGTGGAGCCTGAAATAATAAGAGTATTGACTTTAAATCAGTGAATCTCAACTTGTGGGTTGCAACCCCTTTGGGGGTTGAGCGACCCTTTCACAGGGGTCTCCTGATTCATAACAGAAGCAAAATTATAGTTATGAGGTAGCAAAGAAAATAAGTTTATGGTTGGGGGGTCACTACAACATGAGGAGCTGTATTGAAGGGTCATGGCATTAGGAAAGTTGAGAACCCCTGCTTTCAACTATTTATAAAGCACTGTGAACATAAACACTACATGACTGTGTTCAATAACAGTGTTTGCAAACCCTTGACCATTGCTTCAGTGTTAAATATGGTTATGTAAAAAAATTCCTTTGAAATGACCAGTTTTTAGTACATATCTGATAGACACTTTTTAAAAGAAAAGTTTTGGTAAATTGTTTTACCATACAAAACCTTACTACTTATACTCAAGAAGACTCAGAAATATTCAGAGCAACAGTTCTCAATCTGTGGGTCACGACCCGTTTGGGGGTCGAACGACACTTTCACAGGGGTCGCCTGATTCAAAACTGTAGCAAAATTATAGTGATGAAGTAGCAATGAAAATAATTTTATGGTTGGGAGTCACCACAACATGAGGAACTGTATTAAAGGGTCGCGGCATTAGGAAGGTTGAGAACCACTGGCTTAGAAGAATAAATGAATAACAAGTGCTTTGTAGAAAAAATATATACTTTATTTTCAACTAGAAAGGTGAAAACATGTAATTTTTGGTCACACTCTCAACAAAGAAACTGTCCAGAAAACAGTCACAGTCAAAGTAGAAACAATTATTTCCCAGTGGAAAAACTGATCATCCATAAAACCATCCTTCTTCTTTTTGAATAAAGATCTCCTGTTCATTAAAATTGAGGCTAGCCCATTTCCAATAAAAAATCAGACTTCCGTGGAAACTACCGCCTCGCCGTTAGTAAACAACCTATCTGGAGGAACTGTCTCTCAACTGAACAAAGTTTCCATGTGAGTATCCATTTCAAGCTTTGAAGTGTTGGACAAACTTTATGTCCTTCCTACGGTAGTCAGAAAAGGAGGGTAATCATTTGAAATTCCGAGGCATGGACAAGAAAATCAAACACTTTACATTAACTTAGATAGCTGTACAAGTTAATTTATACACAATATCTACAATAGAAAAATTTTAAAGTCTGGCTTGTTACAGGCAAGCTAACTTGCCGCAAGCTGTCCAGTCTAACAGACAGGATTCTGATTCCTGAACACTGCCACTGAAATCAGAATGTCAAAGCCAAGTCTGCTGTGCTGCCTGCCTTCCAGAACCACGTGACTCAGCCTCTTGATGGCCAGAGAACACACATCGTTATGACCGCTGGCGTTACAGACAGGTCACTGAGCTTGCTCAAATGTTCCTTCTCCATTTCCAAAATGGCAAGCCTCTTACCACCTTAGGATGACAACCTTTCCGATGCTACTCATTTCTCCTGGTGCCCTCCTACTAGTCCCTAAACCCCACCCTATAAACACCATGATGTTGTGTGCTAATGAGGTGCCACTGTCAAGTTTTACTTTCTTCAAACCAGTGTCTGGAGTTGATAGATTATTTGTGTGAATGCCACAGAGCACAATGTTTTGATTCAGGTGGGAATTCATTTTCCCAGTTAGAAAAATAGATTTAAATAAGTTGTGCTAACTGAAATCATGTTTACACACACATACACACACACACACAATGAGATGTGAATCAGTTCAAGTTACAGTCTAATGAGATAATCTCTCACGCTCTGGCTTTAAGCCATGTCTCCATGCATCTTCCTGTAATACGGTGACTCAAAGATATCATTGTCTCCAGGGCAGTTGTAATGGCAGGCGCAGGTCTTGATGAACATCATGTTCTTCTTCATGACCTCCCCATCAGAACACTTGAACTCCACGGGCAGGGTGGTGGTTCTGTGAGGTGTGCAACACCGGCCATCGGTGCAGACTCCGCAGAACTTGACCTGGTAGGTTTTCATACTGGTGCAGCCAGAAAGCTCAAACTTGGTAGTCTTCACAATTTTGGTGGTACGGATGCACCTTTTGCCCTTCTAAGAAAAAAAAAGGGAGATGAGGGGGAAAAAAAATCTATGACTTTACAAAAGGACTGGCCTGTTTGAACTCTGTTACTAACCACAGTCTTAACTTTGACTTTTGCTTATATTTTGAGCGGAGGAAGTTTGCGTCTTACTTGCAAGTGATCTTAAAATAGACCTAGCCTATCTTAGGATGTCTCAAATTTACTAATGCTGTAGAGGATTCTGTATCAGGAAGCTGTTTCTATTACACAATATCCCATTCCCTTAAAACATCTCAGTGGTTAGATAATTTGGGGAAACAATGGGCCTCTCTAATAACAAGGCTGGTGGTCCTATCCACTCTCATTTCAGGAAAATTAGCAAATAGAAGCAGTACAGTAATATACCTTGATGTTCTGTTCCAGGGCAGCTTCACAAGGCCTGACCATGCAAAGGCGGTTCTGCTTTTCCAACCTGCAGATGGCGTTGTCATTGGTAACCCGGGTGGAGATGCCCATCCCACAAGTCTTGGAACAGGCGCTCCACTCTGTGGTCTGGACCAGGCAGTTGCCGCGCATCATAGTTGGGTCTGGGCCAAACGTGTCTTCAAGTCGGTAAGCTATGGGGCAAAGCACACAAAACCTAAGTAAGAAGTCCAAAGGTGGGACTGGGCCCCTGGGTTCACTATTTCTTACAGGAGTACATCTCACAGGGGAATCACGACTCAACTCACCTGCAAGGGCCGAGCCAACTGCTGTGCGACCCTTGGGCTCATTGCAAATCCACTCCTCGCAGCATTTCCCTGGCACTTTGACCAACTGCGGGAAAGGGCAGTCAGGGCCTGGAAGACGAACTGTTGGGGAGCACAGGGGCACGCAGCCCAGTCCCCCGTTCATGCAATGGCACCTTGATTTGCAGCCAACCACAAAGGTCTCTCCACTCTGGTACACCTTCCCTTCAAAGTAGCAGGAGGCCCCTTCTTTAGCTGAAGGAGAGGAAGGAGATGCAGGGGTTATGTCAAATTGGTCCCTGGAGCTGGAAGTATAAGCGCGTCCGGGATGTGGATGGACTATGGACAGCTAGTGTAATTGGAAATTTGATTTTCAGTTTGGAGTTTCGGGGAGTGAGGGGCGGGAACACGGGCAAGGAGGCGGCTGGACACCAAGTAGCGCGGGGGTTGGGGCTTCAAGTCCTACCTGTGCACACTCCGACCTCACGGTTCTTCTCGGAGCCAAAGTCACAGTAGAGGTCTTTGTGCGGGTCGCAGCGGTCCCGTTTTGTGCACAACTCGCCTAGTTGCTTGGCGCACACGCGGCAGCAGTTGCAGCCGTCCTGCACTACGCTCACGCCCACCGGGCAGCTGGGCTCTTGCACGGCGGCACAGTGGCACTGCTCGAGGCAGTCTTGCCCGGTGGCCTGCGGGGAGAGGCGGCGGGCGGTCAGCGGGGCGCGCGGCTGACAGAGACGCGGGCCCGTCCCCTCCCCGCCTGGCTCAGAGTCCCCCCAGCAGCCGAGGCCGCGGCGGCGGCGGGCGTGGCGTGCTTACCCAGCTGCAGAGGGCGAGCAGCAGGAGCGCGGAGGCGAGGAGAACGGAGCCCATGCCGGCAGCAGACGCGGTCAGGGCGCGGGGCGGCGGCGGGACAGGCGCTCGGGGCGGTCAGGCGGGCTGCGGCGGCTTCCGCTGGAGCTCGGCGCCGGGATGCGCTGGGCTGTCGGCGGTGGCCGGGCGGCTGGCGTCGGGCTGGAGGCGGTAGGTGGGTCGCCTGGGGTTGGAGTTGCACTGGCTGCCTCCTCTCAGTGGGAAGAGTTGTTGTGTGAGGCTGGGGCCGGCGGCCCGGCCTTTTATAGCTCAGCGCTGCGCCCGCTCGCCAATGAGCTGAATGGAGTCCTACACAAACAGGGACATTCCTTGCATTCCTCCGCACCTTCCTGCCTCATCAACTCACACCGGATTGATCCTGACCCCTTGACACTCCACATTCCTCCAGTCTGAAAAAGCTGGCACACTCCCCCCTACGGAGGGGGGGGCGGGGGGAGAAGCCTAGTATTGCCAGTACCAAATAGGACTTTTTTCCCCGTGGCTTTCACACCACTCCTGATTTATATCTTTTCAAGAGAAGCTGGCAATTATTATTATTTTATATGACCCACTTCTGCTTCTAATGGCTGTGCCGGTTCTCCTCACTAACAGAAACCCTCTTTAGGAGGTAGGTAGCTCAGGCGGCTGTAATAGCAGCGTTTGCTAAAACAATCCAAAGAACTTCCTTTTTATTTTTTCCGCAGTAATTTTCGTTTTAGAAAGTTCTATGGGCTTGAAACTCGCCAGAGGGCAGAAAAGGAGTTCGTTAATCTCAATCATCTGAAGTCTCTGAGATGTCTACCTGCACAATTTGAAATTCCATATTTGGCCCGTTGTCATTTGAGACATAGGTTTGGCTGCCCATTGCCAAATAAGAAAGAGAACAAACCCAAGGGCATGACGCTAGATGCAGCTTCCTGGGGAGAATTCCAGGATCCTTGTTTTGTTATATCTTTAAAAATATGTAGTAGTTTTATTGTTGGAGGTATGGGGAGAAAGAGGGAATAAGTGGCCATCAATGGTTCCAGAAAAATGGGTCTATTGTTAATTGGAGCAATTAAAAGACTTTTAGTGTGCTACGAATTGAATTGTGTGTTTCACCTCTAATATATGTTGTAAATACTAATGTCCATTCCTGTGGTTATAGCCCCCTTTAGCAATAGGTGGTTTTTAGGGTAGGGCATATCTTGAATCAGTATTTTCTGGACTGTATATGAGATGAAACAAGCTAGAGGAAGAAGCAGAGACACAGGAAAAGAGAAGCCAAATCACAAGAAAATCACCCAGGCAGCACGAAGAAGTGAGGCCCTTCCCCAGAGCCAACAAAGAAATCTTTCCCTAGAGCCAGCCAGCACCCTGAATTCTGACTTCTATTCTCTAACCTATGAGACAATCGAATTCTATTGGTTAATGCCTCTCACCTGTGGTATTTCTGTGATAGAAGTGTTCTGAAAAAAACCTCTCAAACTCTAGACAACTAAACCAGAAATTGTTCCTGGGAGTGCAGTGCTACTTTAACAGAGTTATGTAATGAGGATATCATTTTAGAATTGGGTAATGCATAGAAGCTGGAAGAGTTTAAGGGCCTAATTGTGAAAACCCAGATTGCTTTGAAGAGACTCTTAGGAGAAGTATAAAAATCAAAGAAAATGACGACCACGGGATTGGACAATGGAAGTAAGCTGATTTTTTGTTATGCAGTACCAAATAGTTTATATGAATTATGTTCAAATATTTGGTGGGAAGTAGAACTTCTAAATGATGAATTGGGATGTCTGGCTAATGATATTTTGAAGTAAGATAGACAAGGATCACATGATTTATCCCTGTCACTTACAATGAGAGATGAATGAGATGGACTAACAAATGAACTGTGAAAAATGAAAATTTCAAGATTTGGAAAATTCTATGATGTAAACTGCAGATATGTATGCTAGAATATTCATCAATGGCATGGCTACAAAAATCTTTTGTTAAAGAGATTAACCCACTGACTAATGGATCTAACCAACTGCCACAGCATAAAACCTGAAGGTGACAGAGACTGAGAGCAAAAGGGTTTTCTTCTGCCTCTTGGAATTCAGATCAAAGGATCAACCGATCAAAGGAGCTGTTGTCCTCCAAGACCAGGAGCATCCCTGGAGCGCATTGGAGAGACTGAAACTGTTGGAAGAAGCACGTGGAGCTCTCTGTTTCTGAGTCTGGGGCGATAGTCTATCTGGATGCTTGGTTGCGTCCTCTCTAATCTCAGCTTGTTCCACCTTCCAGGCACTCTGGAATGCCATCCCTGCTCCTTCAGCTTTAGGTGGCTCTAAATAGGCAGGTCCTATCCTTCTGCTCCTTGAGCATGACAGCCTGGTCCTCTCCCTTTTAAGTAGCAACCTTGTCCCCTTGGTACACCTTAATGGCAACTCTAAAGATCCAATACTTTGAAGCCTAGAAGGCTTTAACACTTCAGGGATGATGTGAGGGGCTGAATGTGTTTTACATGTAGCAAGGTCACATATTTTAATCCAAAGGGTAGAGTGTTATGAATTGGTTGGTGTTCCTCTTCCCACTTCCCACCCCATCCAAAAATATGTATTGTAAGTCGAGCTTCTACATTTGTGGCTATAATCCCATTTAGGAATAGGTTGTCTTTGCTATGTTAGTAAGACAGGGTGAGTGTAGGGTGTATTTTGAGTTAATCTTTTTTTGAGCCACAATAGAGATCAGACATGTATGTGAGAAAATTGGAGATGGGGAAAGAGTGATGCCAGGCCACATGAAGGTTTCCTTAAAGCAGAAGCTCAAGGAGACGGGGACCTTCCTCTAGAGCTGACAGACAGAGAAGACCTCCCCCTGAAATAATATTGGTTTTTAATCTCCTAAACTGTTAGGAAACACATTTGTGCTTGTGAAGGTCTCTGTTATAGCAGTACTAAATAACAGAGACAGAATGTATTGATTTGGTGGAAGCTCCGGTTGTGGGGATGGGTAGGAACAGGGGTATATAGCAAAACGTTGGGGCTTAATTGGAGGTATTTTTAAAAAGGCTGTACTGTGGACTTTGAGGAATGAGTAATTTTTATTATACTATGAATTTTATCCCACAAAGGTAGATTGTACTTGATTTGCCTCGAAGTAAATATTTGTTTAAATAACAAGAATGGTGTGCCCCATTATGCCTACTTATTTACCCAAGGAACATGCAACTTAATGGAGGAAGGAAAGACAAAGTAAAGGAAATAATTGATTTTGTCCTTCTCTACTGTGTGCAGATAGCAACTATGGCTAAGAAAACCTCCATTTCTTAATAATGTTAGTTAGCTTCAACAAAGACTTGATTAATTAAACTGTGCATTCACTGAGGATCTACACTGTTGATTTGCCTTTCTAATAACTCCCGTTATTTTATGCACATGGAAGGATTCCAAGGTCATTGTCATCTCATATCGTTTGATTGTGGTGTTCACCATTGAATGAATCTATTCCAGTCATTGATTTTGTTGTTGTTATATATGTTTAAGATAAGTGTTTTTGTTTTTAATGCAAGGCAGTCTTTGAAACTAACATGCTTAAACAGATGCCACTTTTTCTTTGGAGTTTTCATTTCTTCTGCTGAGAAATAGCCAAGAACAACACATCCACTCCACCTATGTTCCATGAATGATACATCACCTCCCTTTTGTGCACTTCACAAGAACCACCTTGATGGAGGTGTCCTCACATTGTCTGGGAAAACTCCTTTAAGAGGGGGAAACGGGAGAAAACCACCCCCTTGAGGTTATAAGATGGAGACAAGGCGGGGACAAATCAATGTGTATTATCCCCTACCTGCCTCCTGAACAGAAGGAGAACCTTGCTGGAATATCAAGCTAAGACCAAGGAAGGGGAATATCTGCATTTTGGAGTAGAAACTGAGAGCTCTGTTGGTGAGTATGGTGGGTGATTGGGGAGAAGTAACCTCACATTGGGATGGGATGCCAAACAATGATTGTAGGAAACCTAGGGGAACGAGGGACCGGATTTTTTGTTCTTGGGTGGAAACTATGAATATGTTTCTACCCAACACTCAGTAAATTGCTCCATGGACTAAGTACCATGGTGACCTTGGACTGTGACTTTGTAGGCAGCATGGCATAACCTAGGGACTACACTAGAAGGTCTTAAATAGAGGCCTGGTTGAATGAACTAAGCCCTGCTTTGATGTTGCCTGTACCCTTGCCCTACAGTCTGGGGTACTCAGATGATAGAGGAAGCAGAGGGTGGCTGGCCTAGAATTGTGGAAATGACAATCATTAGACCTTGGGGTGAACCCCTGTCTTGGTGGATATCCAATGGAAAGAGACCCAGAATCACCATATATTTAGTACCTCAATGACCCCCTCACAGTGACATGGCAGGTTTGTATCTGTTGGGCAGAAATCTGCACTTGGAAGAGTTGATCCAGAAAATTTCCCCCTGGTACCAATCCCCATATTGAAGATAACAATAACAAAATTTGAATATGATGAAGGGAAAAATATCAGAGTTTAAATTGCAAACACCCAATTTGTAGAAGACTGTGGAAGAACCTGAAACCCATCTGTAGAGTATCTAGTCAGATTAAGCCCTGGCAAATCCCTTCTAGCTATAGACAAGGGTCTCGATTAGCTTTAATGTCAGAGAGAGATCATTGTAATCTAGATTATGCTAGATAGACCTTGATACTTGGTCAGTTGACCCCCCTCTTTACCCAACCTTAATTTGTTCTAGGTATAAGAATTTCTTGCTGTCCCATGACAAAAATTTCTTCGCTGGCTTTTTAAATACTCAGGGTGGTCTTTTCTTTCTTATTCATTATTTCTGTTTTTATCTTTGTATCATTATTATTTTATCCTGCCATTTTATTATGTTTTTGTTTTTATGGTTTCTGTTGAGTTTTCCAGTTTGTGAAGCACAAAAGGAGTGGATGATGCAAAGAGATAATAACTGACATAAGAGTTTACAGGGGTGGGATATAGGGAGGATGAGAGGATGTGGGGAGCAAACAATATATTCGGGAGTGGGGAGGGAGCATTAGAACTGATTGTGATTACACAACTCATTTTAAGAGCAAATTAATCAATGAGGGGGTGTTTTAAAATTGCACAATTCTTAAAATGTGATTGAATTTTGAATTTTATGAGACGTGGATTATGTACTAATAAACCTGTAAAAAAAGAAAGCAAAATAATTAGCCACTTTAACTTCAACATAGACCACATCATCTGTGCACAATTACTTTGTTAGATTGTCCACATGGTGACAGTGTAGTTTCATATCAACCCGTGCAAATGGTGCTCAGGAACCTCAGGGAACATTTTTCGTCATTGTTATTTAATGTTCTTTCCAAGCATTCCACAAACAGAAGAGGCCCAAGAGTTCCTATTTAAAGAAGGAACATTCCAAGTTATGTTAATAACCACATGTGTATTAAAGGCAACTTGGCCCCAACACTTTCTTCCTTTGTGGATGCTTTTAAAAGTCCAAAATATGTGGGATGCCACAGTGAAATCTTTCAAGACCTAACCCCCCAATTACATCTGCCACTAATTGGTTAGAAAGGTGTGGTACACAGGGAACAGTAGGGATGTCAAAGTCATGCCTTACCTGGGATGGATGTGGGCTTGGTGGTGAGATCAGGGGCTTGCAGGGAGAGGGAGGTGGGAGAACACTGGGGGACCTTTTGAATCTTCCCAAGTGTCTGTGAGCCACCACCAACTGCATCATGAGCAGCAGGGTGGAGACTCATTGATGAAGTGGATACATTGATGGACTGGGTTACAGTTGGATGACCCGGGTTGGGTTCCTGGAACTGTCATTCACAAATTCTGAGAAAGTTATAGCCCCAAATTTCCATTTGTAAAGTGAACATAAAAATTCTAAGGCATAATGAGAATTAATTAGGTTTAGATTTTCAGACAATTGAAACTTTAAAAAATTTTCTTTCTCCATATCTCTTTCTTCACATTACCACACTTTTCTATTGTTAAATGTCATGATATATCTTGAATCAAGTTTATTTTTACTATCAAAGAATCATAAGGTGCTCACATGGTCCCCTATGGTCTCAGAACACCATAGTTTGTTCCAAATTGATGGCGAAGAGAAAATATGCATATTAAAATGGAGACAACAAATGCAAGTTCAGCTAGGCTATGTGTTATAGGGTTATATGGAGGCTTTACTATCAAATCATTTTTGAAGAGGTTAAAATAAAATAATATTAAAAGGTAAATATAGAGCAGGAGAAAGAGGAGGAAGAAGGAGAGGAGAGAAGACACTTAAGACATTCATAGACTCAGAAGTATGTTTATATTGTGATACTGACCATCAAATGCCAGGAAATTCAAAAGGAAAGGCTGACACTCTGTCCTTAACTCTTGCCATGGGCTTTGAATTCTTGTACTATTATAAATGACTCAGCAAATGTTTGTGTGTTTCTGGGCGGTAAAGTGGAAATAGTGGCTTCTTATAACTCGGTCCAGTTCTTGACTTATCCCAACCCTTTCTTTCGATTGACAGATCAGAGGTGGGGTTAGGAAAAAAAGTCTTTGAATTTGTGTGTAAAATAGCTAGGATGCCCTAATTATGACTTTTAAGCAAGTGTTTATCTAACAAATGTTTTCTAGAGGGCTCCCCCCTCCCACCTTTTCCCCTGGTAAAATGAGGAATTCAGTTAGCTGGCTCTCAGTCTTGTTTGCTGAGCTATCTAAGGTAGGTATGTGTCTGCTTGGGCACCATTTGCACAGGTCATTTAGTTAACTCTTGTATGATGTGCAGCTGTGGATGTACTACATTCCTTCCCTTATGTTTTTTGTTGTTTTTTCCCCCTTGAAAAAAGGGCACTTGATCATGTATCAGACGTAGAGAAAACCTGGCAAAACTACAGGAAAGTGGCTAGACTTGAAGTGTTTGTGTACTTAAAGAAGGAATCTTGCACATTTTCAACTTTCAGTCATAGACATTTTCTTATAAGAGCAACCAGGAGTCTGTGCCAGCCCTCAAAGCGGAAATCAAGGATCCCAGGGAAACATATCCAAGGAATGTCACTTGGAGCCAAGACCTATATGCAATAAACACACTAAGCTGTCACTTATAGGAAGTCTGCCCCTATATGGGCAGCTAGACAGTGAGCAATCTGTTTTGATGGTGGGCTGGGAATGGGCTTTGGGTGTTGCTAGCTCGCCTCAAATTCAATCATGTAAATGAATTCCACCAAAAAATGGTGTGCCAGAAAGTTTTTGTTTTTTTTTTTAAACTAGTAATAAATGTTTTCCTGGAATCTTCAGGGAGACTGGCTTGGCTTACATTACCTTATATTTGCTTACAGAGAAGGTTAAGAAGAGGGCTTACTTAAACTCTCTGAGAGTTCAGAAATGGGAAAGAAAACCTGGGTGTTTACTATCTATGTTAGGCTTCTCTAGAGAAACAAAACCAGGACACTTAGGATTTTGTATATCTTTATATATATAGATAGATAGATAACATAAGAAATAAAGAGCTAATTAATCTATGGAGCAGTACAAATGGCTCAGTGCAACTCACTCCCGTGAGACAGCTAATACACTGGCAGTCCTTCAAGTCTTGCAGGGCTGCTGAGTGCACGTCAAGGAAGCAGGCAGCTGAGTCCTCTGTAGAACAATTCAGGCAGCAAACAGCAAGGCAGTTCACTAATAGTCAGTCAGATGACAGGGGTCCAGCAGTCCCAAGGTCAATCGAAGTATACTCCAATAGCGCATGGTGAAGCAGGTCTTGAAGGAACCTCAAACTACAGTGACACAGTCCACGGGTTAGCTGTCCTACAGGTAATATAGCTTGCAAATTGAGGCAGAGAACAAGCTAAGGCAACCACACACTGGTCTGATCATCAAAGAGCAAGAAACAAGAAAGGTGAGGCTCACCCGAGCCATTTATCTCTCTGCCCTTCAATTAATCCCACATGTGTTCATTGGCTAGGTTGGCACAATAAACCTACCTATCCCACTATCTAAATTACATTCACTTCCTCTGGGCTGCTTCCTCCTCACCATTGGTTCGCCACCTTTCTTAGGATGTTTCTGATACAGTGGTATTTGTCAGTTGGTGGTCAAGGCTCCGCCATGTGGTTTGCATTATGGACCTGCACTAGTTTGTTCCTGGACTTGCTTTTAGGGACCACTGGGGGTCAAGGGCATGACAAAAGAAAGCTTAAATTTATTTGTTTAAAATAAGGTGCTTCCTTTTCCCATCCTTTTCACTTCCTTCATTCTTTCAATCAGTCTTGTTTTGTTATTTTAAGTAGAATCTGGGACTGCCTTTAGTCGGCCTGTTATTCTGAGGTGGTGTAAACAGCAATGGGTGCTGTTAGAGATGGGGAGGGGCCTCAACACTTTTGGTGGCAGGTTAACTACTCGAGCTGACTGCAACGTACCCATCAGGAGTATGCATTGCCCTTTGTTTCATCAACCTAAATGTGAACAACCATCTTGGTGACACTTAGGCAAGAGGTCAGTAGGGGTGAAAAGGAGAGGAAACTATTTTCAAAAAAGGTAATTTCAGGAGACCAAAGCCATAGTATTCTACCACTTGTCTGTCAGTTGGTGGTCCTGGGGTGGCTTGTGTGTTGCTGTGATGTTGGAAGCTATGTCGCTGGTATTTCAAACAACAGAATCACCCAAGTGAACAGGTTTCAGCGGCACATCCGGATTAAGTACAGACTATGAAGATGAAACAGCCCCCACACGTAAGCGGCATTAGCCACTGGAAAGCTTAGGGATAGCAGGAGAACATTGTCAGATGCTGAAAACCTCACGCATAGTGGCAGAACCCTGGAAGAGAAAGTGCCAGAAGATGAGCCCCCCCAGTCGGAAGTCACTTGAAAGATGCGGGAGCAAAAGCTGCCTTCCCAAAGCGGAGTTGATGATAATGTCCTTGATGGTGGTTCGCCATCAGGGGCACGGCTCAGCATCAGAAGACACAGATGCCACCGTGAAAAAGGAAGACCCTTGACGAGCTGGATTGACAGGGTGGCTCCAGCAAGGCGCTCAAATACAACAGCAGTTGTGAGGATGGCACAAGACCGAACATTGTTTGGTTCTGTTGTACTTCGGATCGCCGAGTGAGAAGAACCTCGATTGCGTCTCATAACAAGTGTAAAATGTTTAAGGGCAGTGGTCATTCGGTGGTAGGACTCTTGCTTTCTATTCAGGAGAGCGGTGTGACATTTCTCCCCAGTGTATCTCAGGTCTAACCAACGGTAGTCTTGTCAGCGGAGACTGCCTGTGGCTACACGGTGGGACAGCTTCCAGCAGAGCGTCTCAATTAAGATTGAGCCAAAAGGAAGGCCTCATGTGTGATCCGTTTCTGAGAATCAGCCAATGAAAAGCTTCTGGATTATAACGACTTTGTGATTGGGGGTGGAGAGGGCTATTTGACTTGTAGGGAGCTAACAACGACTGTGTAAAATAGACATGTGCCTTTGGAGAGTCAGCAGGAGTGGAATTGGGACAAATTCAGGGCCCATTAACTCTTCCTGTGAAATCTCTCCTTAACTTCGGTCAAGAGGCCTGAGGCCCCTACTCACAACTGTAGAGCTCCCTGGAATACCTATTGAAAACCATTAAATGGACTGAGGACTTGCTGAAGGTGAGACCCCCATACCTGCCATTTACCTCTTTGAAACCCCCAAATTTCCCACCTACTCAAGGTTATTGTGTGATTCAAGGAGTCAGTATTCGTAAAAGGACTTTCATACAAGGTACTCAAAAATTCAATCAAACTCACTGCCACCGAGTTGATTCTGCCTCCATAGGACAGGGCAGGATTGCCCCACTGGCCCTGTGACTTCACAGGAGGACCAGCCTCTTCTCTCTCAAGTGGAGCTGTGGCGGTTTCCACTGCTGACCTTGCGGTGAGCAGCCTAACGCAGAGTGACTGTGCTGTCAATTACCCTTTGACTTTGGATTCGATGGGTCTAATTTCTCCTAAAGCAGCACAGTCTGGCTTTAAACTGTGCCCAACTTTACAGGGATTTACAGTGTTAATCTCCAAAAAAATAAACTCCTATTCACAGGGGCTGCCTGATTCATAACAATAGCAAAATGACAGTTACGAAGTAGCAACAAAAATAATTTTATGGTTGGGGGTCACCACAACATGAAGAACTGTATTAAAGGGTTGTGGCATTAGGAAGGTTGAGAACCACTGTGTAAGAGTTCTGTGTGACTATAAATGTTAGCCAACTTGGGCTACATTGCCTTCCATTGATATAGAAATATTAAATTTCAAAAGTTATCTCACATGCACTGTCACACTTCAGTTTCATCACGGCCCTGTGAAGCATTTCCCATTTTGTAAGTCTGGAAACTGAGGCTCAAAGAGGCTAAGTAACATAGTACGTGCTTGGGCAGTCATGGAAGAGGGTTGTATAAATTAGAATTCAGTTCTTTCAACGAGAACATCTTACCTTTTTCTTCAAAGCCCACGTACTTTCTTCAAGTTATATATGTAGGAGCCTATGTATGTCCGTGAGATAACTGTCTTTGGTTTTCTCAAGCTGTTGAAGCATGCACACTAGATAGAAATCAGATAACCGACGAGAAGTGTTAGTATTACAGTGTGCTCAGAGATGAATTATGACATAGATGCTGTTTACTGATCTGTATTAGGAGAGAATCATGGGTTTTTATGACGTTTCCATTTTTTTTAACATTTACCATTTTTATAATTTTGCTCTGTAGGCAAATGTGCTGCTGCCTCTCCACCAATAAA